CCATTACACATACAACCATTATATGTGAGCACAATAGCAAAAGTTTACCAAAACACAGCCAGTTACTCCTTGCTTAGCCAATGAAATCACATAGCCCAAACCAAATGTAATCACTCAGGCCTGGAATTTAAATTAAGATGCTTTATCTGCGCAAGTTTGAGACTTATAGCCTTGTAAGTCAAATATCTGGCAAGTTAGCTGGACTAGGATTGATTAGTAAAGCTCTTAAAATTCTTAGGCACAGCCAAATGGATCGTGCAGTAGCCTTAAAAGATTCATCATTGTATCATATAGACTATAATCTGTCTGATACATTAAAAGTGGACAAACTGGTTAAAAGCATTCACTGCAAATTCAAAGACTCTGCATCATTTTCAAGATTCAAATGTATTCACATCCTGACAAAACAATGAAAGGATAATAAAAACATTCTGTGTCTTGTTTTGGTGAGGATAATATATAAAAGTAATAGCCACATTATAGATACATTAATAGCATAATATGATGCTTCTGACCTAAGGATCTGAATTTTTTTTTACAAATGTTAATGAATTTAATCTTACAACATCCCTAGAAATTAAAGGAACTATTATTATTCCCATTTCCCTGTTTGGAAAAGAAAATCTAAGATCCCACAGGAAATCCATGAAAGAACTAGGAAGAAAACCAAATATCTAATTCTTCTCATTAAGTCACAAAACCATCTAAACCCTCACATAAAGCATTCATCATTAAAAAGTCAATATTAATTCACATAAGCCTGGTATAGTGACTGAGTTTTCCCATATTTAGAACAGAAAGTAACTATACTAGTAATAATATGTGCTTGGTGTATGTAAACTGACATATTCTAAATAAATACTGCTTTTTATACTATGAAACGAATAGTTTGATTCATTGTTTTTGTATTCATAATTACTGTAGAAAACATTATTTTTTTTAGTATTTCTTCTCGATCCACATTTATGAATTTCAAGAAATCTTGTATGAGAACTATTTCTTAACAGATATTCAAAATAATTTGCAAACATAGTAAGTCAGCTGAACTGTTACTGGCTGAGAAGTCGGTGAAAAATGTAAGACAGACTTACTGTTACATTATATATATAATTTAATTTAAAATGATGTACCAGCACATCTTTTCTTTGCATTTTTCTACTGTCATTCTAATAACTTATATTTGCCAATCCAGCTTCTGACATGCAGTTCATAGACATAATAAGCTGCAGTAAGCCATGAAGCAAGAAACATAAATGTCAGTTAGAAGCTATGAAAAAAATGTCCAATATGAGACAAGAAACAAAAGGAAGCGCCAATCTTACTTCAAAACTCTTTACTTCTTCTTCACCATCATCATCCTCTTCATCATGACAGCTCTGAAAGCATGTAAAAGCAACACAATTACTCCTTTTTATTTTTTAATAAAACACAGCCCCAGCTTAAGATACAGAAAAGACCTCTCAGTCTTTCCCATGCTCTATTAAAAGGTAAATGAAAAAGTTGGTGGAAAAGTTACCTTAGCCATAATATCAGCATAAGCCATATATAGGAAATCTTCTTCCAATTTGCTGTGGAAAGGATGCAGAAGGGAAAAGTGGGAGAAGAAGTTATGATCACTGATATAAAAGCTGCAGTTCCATAAATAATTAAAAAACTCAAATAACTTTTCAGAAAAAAAGCACATAACTGGACAAATGTTGTATAATTCCAAATGCAGTTTGCTTAGCTATTAAGTGATCTGTCTTAAATTTTTATATTAAGAACCTTTAAAAAATGTTTTAAAGGCTTTTCTTCTCCCTTGACAATTTCATAAGGGTCTTTTTAGAGCAGAAGGAAATGACTAAAACAATCTAAAGAATAAAATTTGCTACAGATAAACTGTCAGTTTTAGCTAGGAATGTTACTATCAGTTTTTGAAGCAGAGATATGCAGTAAGTCCTGAATAACTAACGGGACCTTTTCAGATAGCATCTATAAATGTGCCACCAGAATTCATAGCTGCATTTGTTTGTCTTCAGAAAACACTGTGTTACTTTCTTTTTAAAATACCTAAAAGTACCATATTTTCTCACATGCAACACCTTTTTTCCCCCAAAACACCTGCACGTTATATGTGAGAAACATGGTAAATGGAGAAATATGGATCTGGTATTATGGGCAAAAATAAAAGTAAATTCTTCATGGGTCTCAAAGGGATCAGAACAAAGAACAGGCTCTGGTTGTTATTATGCTTACTACAAGGCAAATTATTTTTTATTCCATTCTTTCTTTCAAAAACAAGGTGTGTATTATATTCCAGGGTGTGCCAGATGCAAGGAAATATGATACATTATGACCCCTTTACAACTCTGCAAGTAAATTCTGCAAGAACTTATACAGCCATGCTTTTTGCATATCAAAGACACTTTGTGGCCAATAGATGCAGTTTTAAAAACAGAACCCACTTGAAAACATGAAAAAACTTTGCAGCCTCTCAGACTCTCCCTACCATTTTTCAGTTAAGGCTGTTCGACTGAATAGTAGGATGAGCTGATGAAGAGGATCGACTCTTTTAATGCTTTCCTCTTCCTCTGGTGGCTCCTCTCCAGGTCTCTTGGGGAAAGAAAATTAAAACCGAATAAGAAAATGCTTGTAGTTATTGATTATAAAAGCTCTCTCTTACATTGCCAAAGTTGTCTTAGATATAGAATAACCAAATACAGAATTAGGATGTTCTGAATGTATGAGTGGCTAGTACCAAACTGCTCTTAGAACTACAGTTTTGAAGTCCACCAGCATGTAGAGCTGGTAGAAAAAGCCTGAATGGAAACTTGAATGCACTTTTAACCAATCCATGAAGATTTACAAAATCTAAGAGGATGCAGTTTCATAGAATCCTAGAAAAGCAGGACTACAAGGAACTGCACACAATACTCTACATCAGTACTTCCCAACCTTTTCTTCAGCATGACCCCATTTATGACTCCATTTCCTCAGCATTGCCCCTCACACCCAACCCGCAGCCCCCCATGTGCCCCTCACTCCCCACCCACAGTCTCCCACCCCCCAGCCCTGCTGTTGCCCCACTCATGACTTGCAGTCCCCTGCCCCACCGCAGCCCTGCTGGGTGAGGCCCCAGATTCAGGACAACAGGACCAGAGCCAG